TTAGGCTTTTAAAGTTTACAAGAAAACCAAAAGAGCAAAAATAAATTTTCTTCACCATTAATCTGTGGTGGGTTTTTATTTTGTTTTGTCTTGACTTGGGAGAAAACATGCGCAGGGGAAGGAAGGGAAGAAGGAATGAGCCTGCAGGGATATTAATAGGATCTGAGGCTGGAGGGAAAAAAAGAAATAAAACAACAAACAAACAAAAACGAGAGAGAGAGCGAGCGAGCGCACAAAGATTTTTCTCCCAAGAGCAAACCTTTGATATTCTTCCAGCACACCCCAAGCAACTGCAATGCAGCCCCTGTGAACTCTGGCTAAAACACTTCCACTAATAACAGAAACTATTACAGTAGCTTTATAGAAAAGGTCGCAGCTAGACATGGGAACAATTTTTTTCTGCTTATGCTCAGCCTCAGAACATTTACTGTTATGCCTGACTTTACAAATGTGTATCCCTTGAAAGCAATTCAGTGCTGATCCACATGGAAGTACACACAAGTACACTAAAAACAGTGTACTTAACCATCTGCAGTACTTGACATTTAAACCACATTTGGCTAAGCAATATGATATCACTGACTCGCCTTTACACATTTTTGTTTTGGAGCTGAAGTAGAAGTTTCAAGAATTATCACTACTTAAGCAGATTATGCAGATAACAGCGTGAAGCATATTTATGTTAAATTAAAAGTATATCTGATTATTAAGGAGTTAATGGACACTACAGACAAGATTTCACAGTATGTGGTAAGTAAAAGCAACTGCTTTTGTTTAAAAAACATTGGTCTCATAACTTATTCCAAATCATGCAGCAAGGATTTGTATTGTAATCCCCTTCTTTCTTTAGCCTTAAATTGACAACAGGAAAAAGATGGGAAGTGTTGCATTTAATTGCTTTTTCTGTCAAAGAATCTTAATTTTCTGCCTTTTAAGCTTATTTTTATAGTTTTATTTTTAATAATTACAGCTACTTTAGTGAATTGGCAGTTACATTTATTTGATTATACAAATATTCAAAAATGAAAAGGAACAGGAAGCCACACTAGCCACTCACAAGCAATGGAATATAAATAGTTAGAAGGCAGCAATCAGGAACTATAGAGCAAATGAACAGGCTTGTATTTCCAATGATCACTTGCATAGCATACCCATCTAGATGAATACTATTCCAGCAGTGACTGAAAACATACAGGTAAGGAAATGTCCATACTTAAATATTTTAGGCTTATTTCCTAATATTCTCCTTTACCTTTTCTTTTCTTCAAGTAGCATTTTTATTTAAATTTTAACAACATTAAAGATTAGTGAAGTTGTTTCCATGTTCTGAACAAGCAATATATTGGATTACTTCCATAAAATGCTTGTTAGACATGAAAATATTAATTTACATGATCATTTGTAATTTTGAAATATTTTGCATCCCTTCAAATATTAACTTTTATGAATAAAGTGTGTCAGTACATAAAATATCTCTCTACATAAGTAAATGAACCTACATTTCATACAGCAGCTGTTTCTAATAATTACATAATGGAAAGTCAAAATCCTTATATATATATATACACACACACACACACACACACACACACACATACACACACACTTTGTGCGTTTCCAAGTGAAATATCTGAAATAAGCTCAATATTGGCTTAGAACTGAAACTGGTTCTAGGGGCACACAAAAAAGAATTGTCTAAACTTGTGAGGACCTTAAAAGGTACGTAGGAACACAGCGGTTGATACAGGTCTGTGTGGGGGATCTGGCCCTTTAAATCATAACTAACCTTGTAAAACATTCAGAAATAAGAATAAAAGTTTCCAGAAAATTATAATACCTGATGATCAGTAAAATGAGATGATACTGTTGTTTAAGGAGAATAAGCAAGATTGGATAGTAAACAAATCAAATTGCTACATCCAGGTAAGGTATATTCTATACTCCCCAAATAAAACACCACATTTTCTAAACTTTTCTTTCCTAAAGAAGATTAGTAGGAAGAGGATATGGTAATGGAGTGGGGACAGGCAGCAGGGGGGCAGGCACAAGTAGGGGGACAAGGGGTTCTGTCCTCTCACCCCCACCCCTGCTTTGGGGAGGGGGGGGGGGGACAAATTAAGATACACTCCCCCCACCACAAAAAATAATTACATTATGTATAGAGGGAATATTAAACACATTTATACATTTTCCATGTTTAGAATCTAATTATCAGGGTATCTTAAATTCAAAGTTGTCTTGGATTCAAGTAGCATAGCAACATATTCTCTATTGCCGACTCTGTTACAATGAAGTCCACCTTTGTCATTCTAAGTATTACTCAGGCAAGCAATATGATTTTTTTAGTTAAGTTTTGTTTTCATTGAAAAATGTGCTATTATTGCCCCCTGGAGGAAAAAGGAGAGAGTTTGCTTACATAAACAGATGAATAATTTTCCAGAATTGTCAAGTAGATACATCTCCAACTGAAGTCCATGACAGCTGGAGGTGTTCAAGACCTCTCAAAATCATGCCCTTAAATCACTTAAGTGATTAGTTCTATCCCTTTGAATTCTATTTACAGGTAAAGAACTGTTCATAGTACTACCAGTAGTGGTTGAGATGCGCTGAATTTGTGAGCTTGGAGACTGGTTTTGCAAACATATGGAATAAGAAACACATATGCACACAAACATTAAATCCCAGAGGAGTCAGATTCACATTCTCTTGGATTTCTGTATCATTGTTTTTAAGTGTTGACTGTGCTATGCACACAGAGATATTTTTCCCTGCCCCAAATGTATTTATAAACAAGAAATTAAGGGAGACAACATAACTCTAATAAATCAATAAGTAGGTTGAAGGTCAAAACCAACTCCCTTACCATTTATTAGTTATGTTTCTAAAAGCCAGAAATTCAGGTACAACCCATCAAAAACTGGGTTAAGTAAGGCGAGTTCAGGCCAGTGCTACCTCTACCTTCCATTAACAAAGCTCCAGCTAAAAGGAAAGACGCAACAAGCAGCAAAATATGCATTTAAAGGGAAAAGTATATAGGAACATAGAGCTGTGGATTGGGTTGAATTTCCCACAAGACTGATGGGTTTAACCACTACCATTCATTCCCAATAACTACAAGAAATTTGAGTATGTTTCCACACAAAACAGACAAATGCAAGGCCGCTGGGATATCCAAGCACTCCAGGTAGATGGCTGAGGGAAAGGAAGGAGACGGCTAACTCTGCCCCTCCAATTTTTCCTTTTAATTAGAGTACCTTGAAATACTCCTAATTTTAGTTAGCCACTCAGGTGAAAGGGGTAATAGTGCTATTACTGAGAGAACAGGAACAGTTTCAGTTTCTGTTTATCTTATTATTATTCTATTTGTCTTGCTAATTTTGTCCTTGACAAAAGCATTGGGATGCAAGGAAAGGCATTAGATAATGCCTTTCTCAGTATTTCCTGAGCTTCATATTTCTAGAACACCTTGGAGATTTATCTGGGGAGCTAGCAAGGGTGGTTCAGTGACAATTCCATTAAATATGTTGCTGTTGCAGTACAGTGCAATTCCCAATGCATAGGTGCACCATCACACATACCTCCTATCCCACTTCACTCGGACATTCTTAATAGGAATCTTAGTAGAAAGGCCAAGGTTTGAAAGAGCCAGGGAGAACAAACTACCTTCTCCCACTGAGAAGTGTTTTTTCCTGAAAAGCACAGCAGGATAGCAAGGAAGTGTAGAATTAAAGCCATAAGAGGCTAGAAATAAATGTCACCAAATGAAGCAGAGTAGCAGTGCTCAGTTATGTCCCAGCACAGCTGATCTTCTTCACTGCATGAAACGCACATTGTCCATTGACCTACAAGATCAGTGGGCAATGTGTTTCCCCACTTTCAGAGATGCAACCCCAGCAATGTCTAGGGCACATCTCTGGAGGCAGGGAAAGCTGGGCAGGCACTCCCAAGGTTTGATGGGCCTAATTCTACATAGGAATTCATAGGGTGTACACAGGACCAAGCCCTGAGAGTGCCTGCCTGGAGCGTTGGAATATGTGGGCAGCTATGGACTACCTGTTCTCTCCCACCATAAAGCAAATAGACATCCACTGCAATAAAGTGGCACAAATTACTACTTTGTTGGAACCACAAATTTGAATGCATGTGGTGAAACAGGGAGTAGGGGAATCTATTTACTTTCACTTTATAATGTAATTAAAATGTTTGTGGCAGCACAAAGGCAACAAAAGACTGTGTCTGTTTCCACCCTATGGGCATCAGCATAAGTATTGATTCAGCTCTTTCCGTAAGCAATTTAAGTCATTTAATGTTTGTATTGAACATTTTCCCCTATTAGCTCCAGCCTCATATGAATATGTTCCCTCATAGTGGGAATATCACTTTGACTTTTCTGATGTCTTTATTCGATTGACTGTTTATTTCTATTCTCATTTTTTATGGCCTAGAAATGAAGACAAACAAGTGGAATGGCCAGCCAGTACAAACACACACTGTTTTAAATGGCTGAAATAGCACCCAGAACATTATTATGTATATTTTCACTCAGTTGAGTATTAAAATGTAGATACTGCCTTATGGCAAAGGTTGATATGAACAGAAAAAAATATATGTGAATTCAGTCACTTGGCAAAAGAGCTGACAAAAAATTACTGATAGCTGCTGATAAGACGCAGTAAAAAAGATGTGATTTCAGAGTTTATCTAAAGAAAGAAAGCACCCCTGAGCAAACTGGAAAACAAGTTACTGCTTCCCCTGTCCTGTCCTCATTCTGAAGAACATATCTATACTAGAAAAAAATTAAACCTGGTAACTGTGTTCACACCATTTGCAATCTGGCTGGAGACAAGGCAGTTGTCATTTTAATTTATATATGGCTAAGTTACATATAAAATTTCTGTAGCTACATAAGTTCCTGTAGCTATATACACTACATAAAACATTTCTGAACCTATTGTGGAATTTGTATTGGGCACATCCTCTCATGAAATTCATGAGAGGTATTTTCAATACCAAATGAGGCAAGGCAAGAAAGATGGGTGTAAAACAGAGGATTCCTCTCCTATCCAGTTAATAATGCATTTGGGTAGTGTTAAACTAACAAGCCTTTTCAAACTGCCTAGTGATGTCCTAGATTTGAGGACTGCTTTTTGGTGTCCCCAACTGGTCCTCGAAATGAACTTTTGTTTTGGTCCTGACCGAACCCAGCCCAGACCAAATATTCTCAGAGTAGCAGTCAGTGTCCCATTGCATTTGCTGAGAGAATGTAGCATGATTTTGCCTCATACTTCATGGACAAGACTATAAAAAATAGCTTTGCACCAAGGCACAACTGATTAAGCTAGGCCTAGTGCTGCCTGAACACAGCTATATTGCTTCTGGAAGTAGCTGCTACATACCAAACCAAAAGCAACATAGCCTCATTCCTGAAACAGTGAGCCTTTAGCATACCTAATTAGCCCTTTCATAAGCCCATGCTAAGGCAATTACAATAAACAATTTGCCAAAAAGTCCTATATTAGTAGAACAGAGAAAGAGATTTTCATTTAGCTTAAGTAGTACATGATTTTGAGAGGGATGATCTAAACTCTGTCCTAGCATCTTCTGAAACTTCTCATTAACCTAGGATAAGCAGCTATGAAGTCCTACATGACCATGGACATGCTTCTGAATATGAAAGTGACTATTTAATGGAGGACTGAGTGCTCCAGATCAGTTTCTATGTTCCAGTTATAAAATGCATATAAGTACCTATATCTTATAGTAGGATGATGTGTCGGGGGGGGAGGGGGGGGGGGTTGTTTGTTTGTTTCCTGAACTTCCCTTGCATTACAAGAAACCTTGCATACAAGAGAATATTTGGTAAGCTCTTGATATGCTGGTAGATTCATTTTGCCATTCAAAAACATTTCTATATTGTAGCAATTCTAACACTCAGTAATTGTACAGCATAGTCACTGATCAAGCAGTTGCACTGGATTCCAAAAATAATCTGTAAATGTCTTCTGTACTAGGGAAGGTCTATGACAGTCAGGAGAAAAAAGCAAATGATAGGGAAAAAAAAAAAACAACAAACAATCTGGAAAAATGGGCAGCAAAATAAATTTGGTATTTCAATTCTTACAAAAAAATTAAAGGTTGCATCACTTCCCTGTTTATCAGCATAGATATTTGGTAGTCAGGAAAAGTGTTAAGAAC